TTAAATTGGTTCGATGAAAATGAGCAGATGGATTTGGTATATTGATTGATGATTCATATATGATGACCTAGGATGGCATTTAAACAACTGAATTGTGATTGAATATGACTACATGATTAGTTGATTGTGGTCCCAAATCTAGGTCGTGGGAAAGATCCACACGCCAACTTAGTAGTTGACCCAATTCTGTTCAGTTTCTTACGGGTCCAAAGGAGTTGAGAGAAACTCTGGCATGCACAATGATCGATGGAGGATCAGTTTTGAAGTTTTCCCAAATTTTGAAATGATTCTCATTTATGTTTTACGAGTTGATGATTTGGGTATGCATAGTAGATGATACCGTATTGAGCATAGTAGTGAATGACACTTTGATTTGGCTTAAATGAAATAAAGGAACTAGATCGAGTTGATCTTTGGTATATGATAAGTATTTGAGAATTTATTTTTTTGGATGTCGGATTAAAACGATGTTGGTATGTGTTACCCCGATACAGATTCCACTGTGCGAGTGAACCATTGGTTCAACCCAAGAGTTTTAGGGTGGGGTTTTACATGAACTGCTAAGGTTTACATACCTACGCTACTAAGCCTGCCATGGGAAGGGGTTCCTGGGTGTTCATCAATTGAAACGAAGACACCCGAACACCCACGGGAAATGGCGCCAACGGTAGAGAAAACAGGCCCAAGGTTATTGTTTTTGGTGCCGTTTCTCCCTCGTAGATTGGTCTCGTTCTAATTATGAGGGTTGTTCCGTAGGCACAGTAACGAACCTTCCTTGACCTCTCGTCTCTCTCCATATTTCTTATCTCTAGAGACCTATTTATAGTTCTTTGTTAGGCTTTCTAGGAGATAAAACCACAACTCCATCATCATTAAGCCAATCAAGATGCTCCAAATACGTGACTAGTGAATTAGGAGGTTTCAAGATGACGTTCTGACATAGTGGTTGGCTTTAGTAAAACCCCGCCATTTCCATCGTTTCTCTTCATCAAAACAGTGCTTTAGGTATCCTTTCTTATAGGCGTCATGTCTTTGAATCCCAACTCCAGAAACTGGATTTCGATGTCCCCTACGGCTTCTAAGTGGTCCACCAGTCTGCTTAGACTTGAAAATGCACAAAACACTACCAAAAGTGTATCAATCCTATAAAAGCAATAATATGGTTGCTAAAACACACTTGAAGCAATCATAGCAAAATTTCAAGGTATTATGACGATAATGATGGGAAATGTATGCACTTTGGGTCATAATACGTGAGTGTAGAATATATACTTTTACGTGTCATCAAGAAACTCGTATATTGTCGGGATTTATGTTATGAGTCTAAAGAACTCTAGGGGGAGCTTTCTTGGTCAACACGTTGTCCTTTTGCTTCTTCCACTCGACACTAGCTATAGATTTACTTTTCTGCCTTGTTTTCCTTTTGATTTTGTAAAACCAAGGGAAACTTCAACCCCGGAGGTCGGAAGTGCATCAACCTCCATAGTCGCAATTTAACACTGCAGAACTCGTCCCTCGCCCCCCCTAGTAAGTGGTTGGGGGAGACCCTAGGGAAATTTGACCACTCTCTACAACGTGATCTCTTCCTTATAACACCTAAATTATGGGTTATTGGCATTCCATATCTAGGATTCTTCATGGCTTTATTGAGCTTAATTGATTCTTAACCTTGTATTTTAACCTAGGATTGTTTCATATTGTAAATTGACAGATCTAGGCATGCAATGTGATAGTTTAGGAGAATTGAAGTTGAGTTTGCGCTCTTCCGTAAAAAGATCAAAATCAAGATAGTCAAAGGTCACCCTAGAGTTTCTTTCGACACGTATAAGGAAGATATGCGAAATATATATAAGATTATTGAAGGAATTCACACGGATTCCTCCTCTCACTATGTTCCTATATCATACCATATATTGGTCGATGTCTCATTTGAAGATGGACTAGGGTGACACGTGGGTCAGCCAACCAGTCATGCTTGTCACAATTACCCTATCCCATGTATTGGCTGCCAAGCCTTTCATTGATTTTGGTGTGCAATCAGTCATGAAGTTCTCCTTGTTACAATTCATCCATATGACACTCATTTGTCGGAACAAAATAAACAAACTATACAAAACTATTAGCTAAACCATTTTAATCAAAACTTAGCATTAAATTGTTTTCATTTAGGCACAAAATGTTGGTATGATGCACAAGACTCTAGAGTAGTCATACCCATTCAAACACATCTAGATAGGAAAAAGGGAGAATCCCTATCATCCAACACAGATAGAATGCCTCGATTTGGATACATGTATTAGCATAACGAAATTTCCTATCCTAGTAGAGTTAAGCACAAGAGCAGTAACAAACCTTTCATGGAATGCACAGTGGCTATCCCACACTTTAGAGATTTGACTATCAAACATATTAATAATAAAGCATGCATAATGTGCATTCAAAATGATGTATCAAACTTCAAATAAACATTTAGTTAGATCACAATGTGTGAAACAAAACAAAAACAACTGCTTTGAAGCTCCTAAAGTAATCATACGCACCTTACAATCAAGTGATAAACCATGAAAGTTAAGAAACACAAATTATGGTGTGAAATGGCATCTTACTTCTCCATAATAGCCTTGACCTCCTCCTCTTTTTAAATTTTTTTAGAGTTCAGTACTAGGAGGAGAATATTTATATAGGAAGTAAAATCCTTTTCTATATTTTGTAAAGATTTCTCATGCTTTTTCCTTTTTCCTTAGTGAAAGGGTGTTCCCTCGAGGTTTCTGTTGAGAAAGGACTCAAGGACTTGTCTAAGGCCCTTAGGAGACTCTTTGTTGGATTTTGATTGACTGGAATCTCTTTTCTCCATGTTTTCAAATTTTAGCTACTCTGAAGTCCATCATTTTTAGATTAGGTCCAAAAATGGTGTTTTTCTTCATGTATGTCATTCTTTCCTTGCTTCTACAAAATAGAATATTGAAGCATACTAGGTCAAGATTGTCATGAAGATTGGTTTGGAACATCAAATTCGATAGAAAGTAGCTTTGTTACTGGCTATAGATTAGCAAGGTCATCCAAGAAAGTCATCTGGGGACGAGTCAGATTATTCTTAATGCCATGTTAACACCATGGATATCAACACCAACGTGGGACAAGCAACATCCACCAATTTCTTCTGTTAGTCAACACTTCCTTCATGAATAGTTCATATTGTGGCATTTATTCAATGGATTCATTGAAGGGTATGTTGATGTTGATTTGCCATGTTACACTAAAAATCTGCAAAAACTAGTATGCATGTTTCTACTTACCTGCTCTGTAAAAGCTTGAGTAAGCAAAGCCAACAGAGCTGGGATTTTAACTACTTAGCCATCCCTTCTTGCTCATATAATAATGTGGTATGATTTTCAACATCTTTCACTGGTTAAAGAGCTAGCCTGATCCCCAATGTTTTAGTCATGCGCGCCATGGAAGCTCAATACTCTATTGTAGCTGTCGTGAGTTGAGGGACATTTATGTTTGCAAATTGGTCAAGTTTTTTAATCGTTGGAGATTTTAAACTCTTGTGGAACTAGTGTGCATGTTGCTCCAAGATAATCCATATGATATGGGCAAGATTGAAGTAGCTTCTTGTACCGAGCCCAGGCATCACCATCCTCTTGCTTGAATCTTACAATATGGTCTTTTATCTTATCATGCTTCCATGTGGGAAGTATTTCTCTAAGAAGGATTAAGCGAAAGGTCCAGCTAGATGAGATTACAATCAATCATTTTCTTTTTCTTTCAAGGAGAAAAGAAAGAGTAGGGAGAAGAGGCATTTTTCAGAAGATCATATCGTAAAGAGAGAAAAACATAAAGCTTATTTTGAGAAATAGTTTTGAAAGGGAGCATGAAGGAGTGCTTCTCCTAAGCTTCTCTCCTCGAATTCGAAGAATTTTTTGAAGAAGCAGATTGAAGAGAAGAAGGAGATCTCCCTCTCCTTCAAAAGTTATAGTTCTTGACATATTGATAAAATTAACCCGAACCCTTAGCTTGATTTTCTTATTGTGGATGCATCAACCATATTTCTATTAATTGATTTTTCATCTTTTTTATCCATCTATCTTGATGAAGAGGTGGATACTGTGTTTTTTTCTTACCTTACAACGAGAAATTCAATTAGCTCAAGGTGAACACACTTCTGTTTGTGTTGGATTGCAATTACTTGACCATAGAGTTGTGATTTCACTTGGTTAGGATAAAACACGCTAGAGGAGTCTAGATTTAGCTCTTTAGGTGTGTAATTGGTTGCATGATCATTGAGGCAATTTGTGAATTTAGAAGAGTCATTGAATACATGAGCATTTATTCAATTGGTAGTTCAAGATTCCTCAGCATTATATGAAATTAGGGATAAATGCATTATATTTCTTATAATTTGACTGTTACCTAGGGTTAGGGGAATTCTTATATCAAGCAATGCAGTCAAAGTCTAACTTCTTGGAAATGGAATAACTCTAGTGCAAATATCTAGACTAGTCGCATGATGGTGATCTATAACTATCATAGATTATGGACATCATGTTCTCCATCAATTGTTTGACTAGCTCGTTTAGACAGAGGGTAAACCCATCAAATGATCTGAGTTGAGCACACAACTGACGAGACGCTTGTAAATAAAAATAGAAACATAATACAACAAGAATAAAAGAGAAACATAATAATTATCATTATTAAGAAATATAAAATATTTTCTCATCATTTTTAGTTTTCTCTCTCTTTCAAACTCTGTAATATGAATACAAAATTTCATTCTTTCTCGTTTTCTATCCTTCTCTCCCTTGAATCATCATCCGTGGAGAAATCATCCAATTTTTTTCTTTCCTCCACGGATTTGATAACTTTGTTTCCTTTTCTTGACCTCTTCCTTAATTCATGAAGCAACAATATCCTTGTTTTTCCTTCAATTGCCTCCCTCTTCATTTACTTTATACCCTTTTGTTTTATTTTTCCTCTCGATAAGCTCTTTTGGGGGGGAATTTACAGGTTTCGTGTAAAGTTTTGAGTAAAAGTGCAATGCATTTTTATTTTTGCAGACAATTGTAGGTTAAAGAATATAAATTATTACTGGTTGTTTAGGGATTTTTTCAGAAGATGCACGTTTATGTCGCTTGTAATGTATATAGTTGTAGACATTCATAATTTTTTCTAACCTTATTTTAATGGTTAGAGAAGCAGTTGCAAGAGACAAGCCGAAACTCAAATTTTACAGAAAAGTGTAGGTTTTGGCTAAAACTTTCTTGATATTTGGGAGGGGGATGGATATTATATTTTATATACAAAAGAAGGAAACAAAAAATTTTTAACTCAATTTTTTTCTTAATAAGGTTCGTTTAAATTCTTATATAGATTTATTGAAAGATGGGGGCAATTTCGAGGACTATTTTTCCTGCATGTGAAAGCTTGTGTTTCTTCTGTCCTTCATTGAGGGCAAGGTCCAGACACCCTCTTAAACGCTACAAGAACTTGCTTTCTGATATATTTCCTCGATCCCCAGTAAGTTACTCTCATTTTTCCTGAAATTTTATATTTTTTGGTATCCCCATTTGAGCATTGGATTCTTTATAGTTAGATTTGTGGCTAGCCACATTAAATAGGTGAGGGTAAATAAACCTAATGAAGATTATCTCACATATTTTGGCAGGATGAGCAACCAAATGATAGAAAGATTGGTAAATTATGCGAATATGCTTCTAAAAATCCTCTTCGAATCCCAAAGGTACATGCTTATTTCCATAATGTGGAAAAATAAAATAATTCAATGTGTTTTTTACTTGGAAACAGAAGAAAAGTCATGTGAAAAATTGTGAGCTTCTTCATTTTGTTTGATTCGTGTGTTGAAAGCTAACTAGTTAGTAAAACACACATATTATAAGTATTTTATTAGTGTGTGACACATAATAAAAGTCATATAATTGGAATCTAGTAAGAAGAGGAATGATAATGGGTTCTTTGGATTTCCGATTTCCAAAATATGCATCATAGTTAGAATTTCCTATTTTAATAATATGGTCCTCTATTTGCCTTGGTTTGCTTCACTTTGGAAGTAAAATATTTTTGGCGTATGCATAATGTGGCTTTTCTAAGTACGTATTAATTTTTTTTAATAGATCACGACTTCGTTGGAGCAAAGATGTTACAAGGATCTGAGAAATGAGCAATTTCACTCAGTGAAAGTCGTTCTATGCATATACAGGAAATTATTGATTTCTTGTAGGGAGCAGATGTGAGTTACCTTTCATTGCATTGCATTAGATCAACTTTTGTAACAATTTCCGGTTGAAGGATTTGCTTGTTTAATCTTCAGGATTTTGCACATAAAACTATGTACAGAAAGAAAGTTCATTATACTTGATGCATAATGCATATTCTTATAATGGCGTAAAGCTCATAACGGCATGTTCCAAAAATTAACCCATCATTGATAATTCCTATATGTAATGGATTTTGTTAAATAATTAACAAGATTTTGCTAACCTTATGGAAGTGGAAAAGAGTGGACATAGTTATGCTAACAAATCAAGCCTTGATTTATCAAAAAGAAATGTTATGTAATTGGAATTCTGGATTACGTGATTTTCATGATTTGGCAGGCCATTGTTTGCAAGTAGCTTACTCGGAATTGTTCACATTCTATTGGATCAAACACGCCATAATGAGATACGAAAATTAGGATGCCATGCTCTATTTGACTTTGTAAATAACCAGGTAGGGGTATTTACTGAGATTGCATGGAGTCCTAAAATGAAGGATCATTCCTAGCTAATTGGGTATCAAATTTATTTTTACAGATAGATGGCACATATGTCTTCAATTTAGATGGTTTAGTTCCAAAACTGTGTGCTTTAGTACAGGAGATGGGGGAGGATGAGAAGATAAATGAACTTCGGTCATCAGGGCTTCAGGCTCTTTCAGCCATGGTAATGCATCCATTCTAGCTACTATAATAAGGTCACTCATAGCTAGTTATGGTATCTAATTGGAAATGGTAGTACCCTTCTCTCATATTTAGCACAATAAGTTGAAATATAACATTTGGTTTCATATAATAGGTGTGGTTCATGGGTGAATTCTCTCATATTTCAGCAGATTTTGACAATGTAAGTGAATTTAATCGATGCCTCATATCTTATAGCCAACTGGTTTATGTGTTGTGGTTGTTCCTTGAAAGAATCAAAGGGATTTGTAAACCATGATATATTTTTATGCTAGAATTCAAGGTTGTGAAGTAAACACTCAGCTATTATATATAAATATTTTTTAGCTCATATATACCATAGACTTATTTCATTACCTCACATGCTTACTTCTTTCTGATGCCCAGGTTGTCTCTGTTGTCTTGGAAAATTATGAAGCACAAAAAGGATCAAATAATGAAATGATGAACACAAACGTTGAACAAAGTTCCCCTTCTCCCAACTCTGTGACAACCATCCCCTCGTGGAGAAGCATTGTTAGTGAGAATGGAGAACTAATTAACATATCTCTGTAATTACTCTTTCACATTATTCTAACTTCTTGCTCTTATCTAGTTTGGCTTGACTCTTTCTTCATCATAATTCCTTGTCATTTTAAAAAAATGAAGGGAGGAGTCCCAAGCTCCCTCATTTTGGTCCAGAGTTTGTTTGCGGAACATGGCTCAACTAGCAAAGGAAGCTACGACTATGCGACGTGTTCTTGAATCTTTGTTTCGCTACTTTGACAGTGGTGATTTATGGGCTCCTGATGATGGTCTTGCCCTCTCTGTACTATTGGATATGCAATCAATAATTGAGAATTCTGGTATTACCTGATCCACTACTAACATCATCTAAAATATGTCCTCCTATTGAAGCTAAATTGTTTTAGAACCATTTGCAGGACATAACACACATTTTGTTTTGGCCATCCTAATCAAGCATCTTGATCACAAGAATGTTCTGAAGAAGCCTACCATGCAACTCGACATTGTTAGTATTTCCACTTCTCTTGCTCAAGCAACCAAGCCCCAACAGTCTTTAGCTATTGTTGGCGCATTGAGTGACATGATGAGGCACCTTAGAAAAAGCATACACTGCTCCCTAGATGATTCTGCTCTGGGGAATGAGGTAATAGAGTGGAATCGTAAATTTCAAGAGGCAGTGGACGAGTGCCTTGTACAATTATCACAAAAGGTAATTAACCCCGTCTTCATAATAAAACTTGGTTAAACATTAGTGAGTCCATTAAAGGATATATATATATATATATATATATATATATATATATATGCATGTACATTAAATGGGTTAGGCTACTATGCTCCCGAAGTATACAATACTTTAGGATCTTTAGTGAGATATCTCTATCTAGACCATGAATAAAATCGAGCTTCGAGTATGGTACTATACACTGGATTCTAATGAATGAAACCCAAGCCCGTAATCTCAGAACCCAAACCCCAAGTTCAATTTAATAAAATATTATTATCGATGATTCTTATTCGTTGAACACTCATCCAAGCACATCCAACGACCTAATCACTTGGAGTATGGTATACTGCAAGAGTACACCAGTATATATATATATATATATATATATATATGGTGCCTTCTACGGTACCCTGGGTGAAATCGGGGTACCGCATACCTTGAGTATAAAAACGCTATCTAGACCTCGAATTAGCAGGATTTTTGGGCATGATACTATACCATAACCCTTAATGAGTGAACCCTAGGTCCTAATTATCTAAATCATAAACTATAAACCCTAAGATGGTGCATTGTTTTTTGCCTATATTTGGACGAATCATAACCGTCGATTATTAATTCTAATAAAATTGATCTCGGGGTACAAGATTTAGGGAATGAAGACCTAGATTTTTATCTTTAAGAGTTAGATTATAGTACCATGTCCGAAAGATCAGTCAATTCAAGTTCTGGATAGCGCTTTCTTACTCAAGGTATGCGGTACCCCGGATTTCACCCTGGGTACCGTAGAACTCCCCATATATATATATATATGTGTGTGTGTGTGTGGCAAAGGCTAGCGTACGTCCGGGCGTACGCTAGCCTACCATACGCCCCATTGAGTTTTGCTATTTTGACAAAGAATTAATCGGATTTTGGGACATGATACTATACCCTAACCCCTAATGGGTGAATCCCAGTCCCCAATTCACTAACCAAAGCATGAGATTCGTTTAATCTTAAAAATGAAAATCAACGATTCTAATTCGTCAAAATTTTCATTGGTTTTCATTTTAAGATTAAACGAACCTCATGGTTTGGGTTAGAAAATTAGGAACTGGGGTTCACCCATTAGAGGTTAGGGTATAGTATCATGCCCCAAACTCCGATTAATTCATGATCTATATAGCAAAACTCAATGGGGCGTACGCTAAGGCGTATGCTAGCCTGAACCATATATATATATATGGTGGCTTCTATTGTGTCGTGGGTAAAATCTAGGGTACGACATCCCTCAGTAAGAAAACGCTATCTAGATCTCGAATTAACTAGATTTTGGGACATGATACTATACACCAACCATTGATGAGTGAACCCTAGGTCTTAGTTTTCTAAATCATAGAGCCTAACCCCTAAGATTGTGCATGGAGTTTGTTGCATAAATTTTGACGAATCATAACCGTTGATTTTTATTTCTAATTAAATTGATCTTAGTATATGAGATTTATAGAATTAAGACCTAGATTTTGATCTTAAGTGTTTGGGAATAGTACTAGATGCCAAACTCTGGTCAATTCAAGGTCCATGTATCATTTTCTTACTCAATGTATGTCATATCTTTGATTTTACCCGAGGTTTGATAGGACCACCCATATATATATATGGTGCCTTCTACGGTATGCCGGGTGAAATCCAGGGTACCACATACCTTGAGTATGAAAACGCTATCTAGATCTCGAATTAGCAATGAACCCTATGTCCTAATTATCTAAATCATAAACTATAACCCCTAAGATGGTGCATTGATTTTTTTGCCTATATTTGGACGAATCATAACTGTCGATTATTGTTTCTAATTAAATTAATCTTGGGGTATAAGATTTAGAGAATTAAGACCTAGATTTTGATCTTTAAGGGTTAGAGTATAGTATCATGTCTGAAAGATCAGTCAATTCAAGTTCTGGATAGCATTTTCTTACTCAAGGTATGTGTTTTCTTACTCAATGTATGGGTCAGACTGGTGTACTCCTAGAGTATACTACTCCATGTACTCTTAGTGAGATATCTCTATCTAGACCATGATTTTAACTAAGTTTGGGCTATGATACTGTACCCTAACCTCTAATGGATAAATCTCAGGCCCCGATTCTCTAAACTCAAACCCGAAGTTCAATTAAATGGAATTTTATAATTGACCGTTGAGATTGGCCAGAGCTCAAAAAAGTACATCTAACGACTAGATCATGAGGAGTATACTATACTCCTGGAGCATACTATACTCCTGGAGCATACTAGTCTTTACCATATATGGGTCATATATATATATATATATATATATATATATATATATATATATATATATATATATATATATGGTTCTATCATACGCCAGGCAATCTCCACCATCCGCGTCCATCTCAACGGCCAGCGTAAATGAGGTAATTTATTTTTTATTCTAAAAAAAGAACCTGCATTAATGCTGGCCGTTGAGATGGACATGGACGATGGAGATTTGCTGGTGTACGACATACCCTAATATATGTATGGTGTACGATAGAAGTTACTATATATAAATATGGTTCTATCGTACACCAGGAAAAAATCAGTGTATGTCGTACGGTGGAGATTGCCTGCTGACCGTTGAGATGGACGCGTATGGTGGAGATTGCCTGGTGTACGACATACACCAGCTTTTTCCTGGTGTACAATAGAAGTCACCAAACATATGTGTGTGCGCGTGTGCCGCTCCCACTAAAATAAGATTTTTGTTTCTAATCACATTGATGCTTTCCAATGACAGGTTGGAGATGCAGATCCTATTCTTGATGTGATGGCTGGAATGTTGGAGAACATGTCAACCATTACAGTCATGGCAAGAACCTTAATTGCAACTGTTTATCGTACTGCTCAGATTGTTGCAGCCATTCCAAATTTATCCTATCATGATAAGGCAACATTTAACTTCATTATTTACTTCTTTGTTGATTGACTTGAATAATTTTTCCATGTTTCATTGACTTGATATTTTCCCTTGAAATGTGTAGGCATTTCCCGAAGCATTATTTTTCCAGTTACTTCGAGCGATGGTCTATGATGATCACGAAACGCGGGTGGGTGCACATCGTGTATTCTCTGTTGTCCTTGTCCCATCCTCTGTATGTCCTCGTACCGGAAATGGTTCTATAATAGCAAACAAATCAGCAGATATCCAAAGAATGCTTTCAAGAACAGTGTCTGTATTTTCTTCCTCAGCTGCACTCTTCGAAAAGCTAAAACGAGAATCAAATTCCTCTATAAAAAATACCAAAGATGAAAGCAAGGATAAATTTATGGACTGTTATGATGGTCCTATGAAGAATTCTCCTTCTATGATGAGTAGATTGAAGTCCTCATATAGTCGAGCTTATAGCATACAGGAGCCTACTCCACCACTGCCAGGAGATTTGAGTACTATGAGTGTTACAGAGAAAGAACAGGTAAGGCTTTATATTCTTGGCATTAAAAAGTTCAGTTAGATTTTTTCTTTCATCTAACCCAATTTCTTTTGTGGAATGAGTTCATGATAGATAGTATCCCTTAGGTTGAGTAGTCGGCAGATAGGACTTCTACTTTCATCAATTTGGGCACAATCCCTCTCACCTCTTAACACGCCTGCAAATTATGAAGCCATTGCTCATACTTATAGCCTGACATTGTTATTTGCAAGAACTAAGGTTAGCTATGCTCTTCCCTATGGATACTCATGTCATATACATCATTAATGTTTTCTAAGGCAATATGAGAAAACACATATTTGTTTCCCATTTGATGAAATTTTGTATTGACTTTTCATTATTGTTTATGATGTAAACTTAAATGTTTAATGATGTTTCAAATTAATTTTTTGGGTTCACTTAAAAATTATGTCATGCAGAACTCCTCGAATGAGACTCTAATTCGGAGTTTCCAGCTTGCATTCTCTCTAAAGAGCTTTTCACTTGCAGGAGAAGGAGGTAAGACTTACTCTCAATGTTTATATATGAACAGAGATATCTCCTAAGTCATCCTACATATAGTCTATGTCTGTTTAAACAACATGTCTATTACTTAAGGTAGCTTAGTATTGTAAGAACGTGATTAAGTTTCAAAGTCTATTTGTCATTGATGTCACATGTTCTAGTCCTCACGGCCCCCAATATTAATCATTGCCTTAAAGCACATGGCATATGAGGCATGTGCAAATTTCATGCACATCAGTTGGCTTTCATTTGAGGGGGGCGTGTAAGGAAGTGATGAAGGTCCATACATGGACCTCTCCCAACAACTCGAGTAATTGGGGACAATTGATTTTTGACAAGTATTTCATCTTCATGGCTGACAAAGGATTTTGCATCATTGTAGGGAGATTAAAGCCATCACGTCGTAGATCATTGTTTACCCTAGCATCATCTATGATTATTTTTACATCCAAAGCCTACAACATTCCTCCACTTGTTTCCACCACTAAAGCTGCAATGACAGAGAAAACGGTATCTCTTTAGCCTATCTCTCACTTCTATCTATTTCATATGAGATCCATTGTAGATTTTACATCTTTTAAACATTCTTCATGTATCTTTCATTCCATAATTGGAATTAAGATTTAGTAGAGCATAGAATCGAACTCTTAGAACAAGACATTTACTTTCCTTTATGTATCTTTTATTATTTTGAATACTATTTTATAGGCCGACCCATTTCTCCATTTGGTTGATGATAGCAAGTTACAAGCGGGTAACATGGATATAAATCAACCAAATAAAGCTTATGGCTCCAAGGAAGATGATGAGCAAGCAAAGAGGTCACTTTCAGCGATCGTAACATCAGAGAGTCAATCTAAAGAAGCATTGACATCTATGATAATAAAGTTTATTAGACTACCATCCAATGTACTCCTCGTCAACAAAAAAATTTCCAATCAAAACTTGCATTTAATCATGAAAATTCCATGCTAACATTGAAGTCTTGCATAGGAAGAGCCCTCCATGCGACAACAGTTACTTAGTGATTTTATTCCACACGATTCATGTCCTCTGGGAGCTGAATTGTTCATGGATGTACAAGAAAGCAAGTCGATACCAAAAGAAACAAAAAATGAACAATCTGACAAGGTACATACTTATTTTCAATTTCAGTTGATTTCACATATATCAGCACTTGGTTTGTGATGATACTTTCATTTATTTATTTTATGTAGGAGGCATCACCATTGTTCACAATTGATGACAATGCACCATCAACAACAGAGGGTCAAGCAGAAGTTGATAAGCAACAAGCTACTGAAATCCCGAGCCTCATTAGTGTAGTTGACCTTATAACTGCAGTAAGCATTAGGAACATTGCAAGTAGGTTAACATGCAGAACAAAAATCATATTATTAAAATTACTCATTTTGAAAATGCAGGTGTCTGAAACAACAAATCAAGTTGGTAGATCATCAGTCTCAACACCACCTCACATACCTTACATGGAAATGGCTGGCCATTGTGAAGCTCTTTCTACCGGAAAGCAGCAAAAGATGTCTATTGTATTGGCCGTCCATCAGAGGCAAGAAAGCTTGGTAAAAATATCGGTCGTTGAGCAAAACAAGCCCAAACATAATCCATTTGATCTTCCCATTGAACAGGTCTTCTCTCCTGACCTTCTTTTTCCATGGATGGTGGCTCCTATTTTAGACCTATTTTTGTTTTCTCTTATAGTGGGAAACTAGAGATGTAAGGGTGATAAATTTGTAGATAACTTACGAGATTTTAACTCACTAGAACTTCAATCTTACCTTGTAAACTTCTTCAAATGCAGAGTGGAAACCCATTCATCAACCAAAACTTCTTTGAAGATTTGCAACATGCATCTAGTGCAAGTGGCACAATGCTTTGTGGAACTGAGTATCAACATCACCAATACTTCCACTTGCCAGCATCTAATCCATATGATAATTTTCTTAAGGCCGCTGGATGTTAAAGACTCAAAGAATGCATGCATCAGATAAAGTTGCGGAACCACCAGAAATGATGCTTCGAGATAACGCTATAGACATACGCAAGAGCATCTTTGTAAACTACCAAAAGGTTGTGTTGATATCAATAGGGAAATGAAGAAAAGATGCATCCTTATGGGAAGAGATTGCTCCTTAAGAGAATCAATAGTCATTATTGATTGCAGATTGACAATCAGGTGTCGTTTTGATGAAATCGATAATGCCGACTAACGTCAGAGTAATAAGCTTGACTTGATATAATAATGGCATGATTTAGAAGGGAAGTGGTTTCTTTAAATGTTATGTGTAAGAAATGTGCACCTTGACTAATATAAAGCTATCATTCATTTGGTTATTGTAAGAAATGGGCTAAATTGCAAGTTTGGTCATTTGAATTACTAGTTAAGTTCATTTTAGCCACTGGAATTACTTTATTCCATCCTTAGTCACTTAAATTAGGTTAACCGTCCAAGTTTGGTCACCGGCCGTTAGTCTCCGTTAACTTTTGCTGATGTGGCGGTCAACTCTCATAGTTGACCGTTAAATGAGTGACGTTGCGGTTAAAAAATTAAAATAAAATTTAATTTAGTTATCTAAAATTTCCTCCTCATTATTGCAACTATTACAAAATTAAAATAAAAAATAACTTTTTCTAATCTAACCTCCGCTGCAAACACTAGGCCCCGCCGCTGCTTGTCGTTCTCCTTGCGTGATTGGGACATTTCGGCGAACACCTGGGAGACAGAAGGAGGGAACGCGCCGCTGATTGAGACCAGAGTTTTCATTGGTGGGTTTTTCCCGGAGAGGGCAGAGGTGAATTGGGGGTAGCAATTATTTGTTGGATGGAGTGACATTGAGCTTGTATGTGGTGGGTTCGCGTAAGATCACTACAACAAATTCGACCTATTATGACGAGCCATTTTTGTCATATTAGATACTCATTTTGTCATATTAGGAATAATATGACAAAAGGTGTTGTCACAAAGGTTTATCATTTTATCGTCGTCAGGATAGGTCAAATGTGACAAAAATTTAAAACAAGGTTGCCACATTTGCTTTCAGTATATCTGTGGTTCTGGGTAGTCTATTGTGACAAATAGAGATGTTATGACAACATATTTTGTCATTACGATTGTCATAATCTTGTGATTTTGGGAGAATTGTTCGTCATATTACACGATAAAATTTTGTCATAACTGTATATTGTGACGACTACATGTTGTCACAAGTGTTTATTGTGACAACATTATTTTGTCATAACTGAATATTACAATGAATATATTTTGTCATAACTGCTTGTCGCAACCGCCCCTTCGAATCGGGGGACCCGTCGCGATGTGCTCGGAGTCGCCATCGACCGTGCTTTGGGGTGGGTCGAACACCATTTTCCGGTTTTAATTTTTTTTGTTAAAACCAGAAATCTGGTCTGCGAATTTTAGGTTTATGAGTTCGGGAGTACGATTACGTGTGGGGAAGTGTATTCACACCCCACAACGCCCCAAATGGGTACTACTTAAATCGATAAGTTTTTTAAGAATTGGATGTATTATTATTTGTGGCTTTATTAATGTATTTAATTTTATGATTTGATTAATTAGATATTTATTAATATTTGATCATACGTCTATTGACATAATTCTCAAAATTAAAGAAAGAGGTTTTTTGGTTAGTTGGACTCGAACCTATTGGTTGCCTACGTACCCGATTTAATCGGGATCAAAGTCCACGTAGTTCGATATGTTGAGAGGTTTTTGGTAAGGGGAACTTAACACGTTTCTATTGATTCGTGATTAAGATAATGATTGAGTTTATACGAAATGTATTTATGATGTTTCAATTTAGTGATTGAGTGATAAATGACCTTTGAAAGGGTTTCACCGTGGACGGTTATCGCGGTCTATTGACCATGATTTTTCGTATTAAAGGGAATTTCTAGGTAAAATAAATATGTGTATGTAATATGAAGCCCAAATTTAATCAAGGTTTTAATATTTTGAAATACTTAGAAGTAATCGTAACTTGGTCAAAACAAAAAAAAAGTCTTAACACGATCGGTCGATGTAAATTTTGCGTATTAATCTTACTCTAAAATAAGATATAACAAAAGAATTAACGTAGCAAGAAATATGATGGAGTCCGAGTAGACTAAGTGCTCTCTGCCCGCTGTCAGTCTGAGGTATTGGGTTCGAATCACCAACCATACATATCAGTAACCAAAATTTGGAGAGGGGCATTTTGGTCATTTTGCTCGGGTATAAAATACTATGAGAAAAACTCTAGCCGCCCTTCTTCCTCATTTTCTCATCTCTCTCGTTTCTGAACTCTCTTCTCTCTGAAACTCCAACAACAACAGAAAAGCGAATCAAACCCTAAACTAGTTCCAACCATCTCTCTAATTGCCTCTCCGGTCCCTCCTATCTCTCGCGACGATGAACAATCACGGCGCGAAAGAGCGACAGGGGGAGTTGTCGCAGCGGCGGAGGTAAGACGACGCAGCGCGGCCGAGGGCTGCGAGGAGACGTTCTGGACCCCTCTTCCCTGGTAAGTTAAATTCTGGCTTTGTTTGTGTTTTCGTTTAAACCTAATTTGTCTATGCTTTGCTAATTTAGAGATTCTCTTGGTGGATATTTTTATGGTTTAAATGGCTGACGAGGAAGAGAGGCAGGGGAGCGGCTGCCGGTCAAATCCAGAATACTGCCAGCAGCGAGAACTATGATGACAGGTAGACAGATCCCGTTTTTTTGTAAGATTTTTGTGGTTTAGGCTATAGGTTGATTAGAGTTGTGGATTTGTTGATCTGTGCTTTAATGGTTGGTTTACTCATGTTAATTGGTTTGTGGTGATTGTGATGGTTTTGGAAATTTTATGGTTGTATGCTGCAGATCTAAATTTGGGGATTTACTGATTTTTAGTTTGATGGTAAGGTTTTGGTTTCTGATTATTTTTTAAGTCGTTTTACTAGGTTCTTAGACATAAATTTGTAGTTGTTTGCCGTGGGTTTAAATCTGGAAATTGGCTGGTGTTCATGGTGGGCTTGAATATGGAATTTTCTTGTACATGGTAGATTCGGTTTGGGAAGTTTATGGGTTTATGGTGGCGGTTTATGAATCTTTGTTTTTGCAATCAAGGATAGTTTTTGCTAATGTCGGTTTGTGATTGATTTTGGCATTATTTTGGGATTTTGGGGTTTTGAAATATGAAATTCGGTGATAATTTTTATTGTGTGTTTGGTTATTAATCGAATGAGTATGAGATCGTTTGGGTGTGATGGACTTGTAATTACCAAAACAGCGAGGGTTTAGAGCTGAATTACTGCAGAAATGGTTTAAACTACAAAACTGAAGGTGGAAAGATTAATTTATTGATTGACTTATAAGCACCGCTATTTCTTTTGCTTGTGATTATGAAGTCTTAGCTATTCTAATACCTTCCTTTGGTTAAGTCTAGTGAGTCAACTTAGGTTTTTGCATATGATTCTTGGTTTGTAGTGCTTGCCAAATTGTGGTTTGGAAAACTAGGGGGTTTGGGATGTTAGTTTAATGCAATATAAGATGGAACAACCTAAAACTAACTTGAGCAATAAAACAAGCAAAGAAAGAAACCAAAACTGTTTTTCGTTATAATATCCTTTAGCATGGTAAAGCATAAATGGAGATCACAAAAGAATCACAAATCTGATTTTGGTTGATTAAAGTCGTTAATACTGGGTAGATTGAGATTAGTTCTCTCTTGAACTACTTTGTGAAAGAAAGCTTGAAGTGGAGACAATAAAATGATGATGAACGATAATAAGTGGGTTTGCATGTTACCAACCATTGATTATTTGATGGTTGGTGATGGTTTTGACCTTTGTAGAAGATCTTTTCCGCTTTTTGATGCTGCCTTTGCTTCCTCTTAGTTCTCCTTGTCTTTGTTGTTGCTGTGTTTTGTGTGTGGCTAAAGCAAGAAGAAGGAAGGAAGAGAGGTGGGGAATTCACATAATTTGGCTCTCTGTGTTTGTATTGGTGAAGAAGTCTGAGTGGTATCGTTTTATTTTTTTTATCTATTGAAAGGGAGGAAGCATGGAGGGTTTTCTTTCCACTGCCTGTTCTCTTTTTGCCCTCTGTTTGTATGTGTTTTAGTGGCTGAGAAGAAACCGAGAATTTTTGCAGGGTTTTTGTTCTTCGCTGTTTGTTTGTTCAGAGAAGGAAAGGTGGGGAAGAAGAAAGAAGAACAGAAGTCCTCTCCCGTCAGAGGGGGAAAGGAAGTCTGGTTTTTGCAGAGTTTTCTTTCTGTTTCTAGACAAGAAAAGAGGAGGAAGAAGTGGAGAGGGCAACGCCCTCTGTTCTTCATTTATGGTCGTGTGTTTAGTGGAGGAAGGGAGTGTCACTAGGAGGAAGAAGAAGTGGAAGAAGAAGAAAAGCCCCCTCCGAAAGGAAGTGTCTGCGTTGTTTTTATAGGAAAAAGCAGATTGTTCCCCAAGTTTGCAATAGGGTCGGTTTTTGGTCTGACCGGTATGGGTTTGGTCAGACCTGATCTCTGACCGGTTTGACTTTATTGAGGGTTGACTTGGCCTTGGGCTTGTTGGGCTGTTTCAAGATTTAATTGGGTCTATTTATTTATTTTTCTTTGTACATTGTAATTGCTATTCATTGTTTGATCATAATTGTACTTTTATTTTATAATTGTAAAAATAATATGCGATTACTATTGTTTAGCATTGTACTTGTATTTGTAATTTATTTACTTTAATAAAAATATTATCTTATTCTTTATTTTGAAACCTTTTTTTATGTATTGTAATCATGATAGTGGTTAATTAGTACTCTATTTATCTTAATAAAATTGTTATGAATTCTCTTTCATTATTAGGAAATCAAGGTCCAGTCAAGAATCGATTAACTCGCATGGCAACCAAAATCGAACTTAAGCTTACTTTGTCCAAACATATCAATTCGTCGGAGATTTGCTAGTCCTAATCTCATTGATTTATGACAAACAAAATCCAACCCAAGCATTACAAATATATTTTCTAGTCCTAATCTCATTGATTTATGACAAACAAAATCCAACCCAAGCATTACAAATATATTTTAGCTAGGTCATTCAAGATTTCCTATTGCAAACCTTAAAGTGGAACTAAATTTTATTTTAGTAAAAAGGTTTTAACCCGGACAAAAAGTGGTGTCTACACTGCTTATTATGACGAGTATAGGTTGTCAGGAAATGTGGTTTATTTGTCTCATGCCTAATATGACAAGAGAACAATTTTTCATGCAATGTACATAATGTGACGACATGACTTTGTTGCCACATTTGACCTACTTAAAAAACTTCATAATTCGAAATTGTTTCCTACATTGCAACCTAATAGTGGAAAGATTACCAAAGATCCAAAACTTTACAACCATTTCGATAGTAGACTAACTCCTTGTTCAACATAACCAAACATTCTAAGTTGTCCACCATGACACAAAACATTCTAACTCCTTTGCGGATCATGGGTTCTCCTTCGGTCCATACTTCACCTTTTCATCAGGACCTTCTAAAAAATCTCATGGCCTGGTACATGCTTCCCCTCTGCCTTTGCTTCTATCCAATTGGACTGTATTGTCGGGCTTTACAGTGAAGATCCTCTGCTATGAATCTTTGCAGGAGAGGAATCCAGATCGTCGACAAAGTATCCTCTATTTATCTCATCTCTATTGCCCATGATCACGTGGCATCCATTATCAACTAACCACAATGAACTACAATAAGAAAAAACCAGTGAAGGATAAAAAGTTGAAAACTTACATCCTATCACGCTCTTTCTCAATAGTTGCTTTCTTCCCAAGCTGCAATTCCCATTGTTTTGGACTTCTTCAATCCAACATCGAGTTCCAATAGCAAGATATTATAGAAAGAGCAGAGTTGAAATTCTTTATAATTTTCTTTTAGGAAGGAGGGACATGAATACCTTATACAAGTCAAGGAAGCGAACAAAAGCCACCTGAGGCTGGCTCCTCAAGTCAATGATGATACGGTGATGAGATCGACCCTTTGACTTCACATGAGAACAATGAAGCTTTGGTCGAACGAACAAGAATTGTGAACCTATTTGCTCTAAGAATTTTCTTGGATTAGATTTTGATGCTCCTGGTTTTCACACTTTGAAAAACGCCATCATGTGCCAGGAAAATTTAGGTCAAAATGTAAACCATGTTCTTAGTTTCAGGTTCTGAAAGTTCTTTCCTATACCAGGAAAATTTGATCATGGCAAGACAAATGGAAAGCTAAAATGTAGATATCACATAAGCCAAGAAGCTTAAGCAATTTGTACAAGTGACGAAAACAATAATGACTTTGTAAACGAGTAGATAAGGAACATTAACAATCATTAGTAGTTGTAATGAAGCTAGAAAAATAGTACATGACATAATAAACCAGAAAAGCTACATTAAAACAGCAGCAAACCAAAAATTAAAGCAACTGAGTAATACAATGATCCCACACAGTTTCCACATATCATACATCTGTGAGCAGTAACACATTTGTGAAGTAATCAAATAATATTCAACTGGTGCTAAGATTCATCAAAATATTCAAAACTTGAAAATAAAAGCTAGGTAATGGATGACCATTACCAATTGGTGCCTCAAAACCAACAACTCAAATTTGTGCTTGGTAACAGAAATCAGTCATAAAACTGTAGTTCAAATAGAAGTGAGAGTCAACAAACTGTAGATAACAAGGTAATCGTTTCAAGTAAGAATGTACATAGTCAAATCAGTCCATAGGTGTATGCTGACACTTCATTATAAGAAAATTTCACTCATCAAACTAAAACAAAAAAGTAATAAAATACTTCATATCTAAGAGCTTGGTTAGTAACTTGTACCGTTGAGGATTTTTCAGTAAGTGATTAGACAAGTAAATGAAGGGCAGTGTTAATCTACATAAGAAAACAAAAAGAAAGGAGCTTGAATCAATTAGCCAACAAAACAGAGCAATCAGGGTTGAATCTCACTTACTGCCAATTGAGACATCATAAAAGGAGTTGGTAATCTATTCTTACATGGCTACCTGTCTATAATGGAAAAAGTAGAGTTTATTATTAATTTAAAATGATGGCTTATGATTGCCAGAAGTTATAAAGGCTACCTTAGCCATTTTCCTTCTTCACTGTTCTGGGCCAGACATTAGTTTAGTGATTTGTTCTTGTGGGGTTACCTAGCTACAAGAAACCATTAGACAAGACAACTTACAACAAATGATTAATCTTCTTCACTCGATCTGCTTCTCTTACACCAAATGACCATTTTCGGTATAAGAAAAAGCATTACTTTTGGTTGTTCCCGACTAGTGAAAGCAAAAAGTAATCTGGAAAATAACAAAAGAAAAACAAGCATGATATTGATATCAATTATAGGTCTCACAAAATAAAAGAAGGAAAAACAAGCTTGATATAAAAATCCACAACTTTATAGCTCCGCCAGGACAAAGAAAATGCGGAAGCTTGATTATACCTACTAGCATTGGTGGAAAATCTCCATCAAAACACCTACTGGATACCCTTCAGTGTAAATTATGTCCATTATTTATACCTCCAAGAGCTCTCACAATTGGTGTTGTCCAGGGACTGCTACTCTAAAAAAAAGAACATAAAAGCAATTTACGACCACTAATCAATCAATCCCAAACTTCTAAAAAAATGGGAGGCACCACACCAAATGGAGAGAGGATTTTGGGGACGGTGATGAGCAATGGTAGTGGTGGGAGACCTGAAGTCAGCTTGAAGCAGCAAGGAGCTGTGAGCGATTTGGTGGGTCCAGAAGAGAGGTGGACAAAACCCTTTCTTTGCTTGGCTAGCCTCATAACAAATCAACTCCCTAGACTGCGATAACTGGAATGGTGGTTTGGATCTTCCGAGAGAGGTGACCATCGGAGCTTGCGATTGAGAAGTGAGGTACGCCAGGGTGGACGGTGATGAAGAAGCGAAATGACATGCGGGAACAATGCAAAATCTGGAGAGAGATATCGAGAACAATTCAGATCTGAAGTGGTAGAGATGGTGGCAAGGGAACCGAGGATTGCATGTCGAATTAGAGCACCCTTAAACGGGTTGCGGCGGTGGAAGGGTGAGAGGGTTTCTAAGAAGATAGTGTTGGATAAGGAATCAGCGATGGCGAGAACCAACAAAGTGGTGGGGAAAAATCGGCAGGGGAGAGGGGAGGAAACATAAATAAATTAAGCAAGTTATTTTTCTTTATGGTGGGAAACGCCAAATTTTTTTTCATTTATTGGGGGAGAGGGGATTCAACTTTTGGGGCTGAAAATTGGGAGGGATTGAAAATTGGGCAGGACTGAAATTTGAGTTTTTTTTATGGTGAATTTTGTTTGTTTGTTTTTATGTTGTACACAGGCAAATATGATGTAAATGCCTTTTGTCAAAAACAAAACCACTATATTATGACGAACATGCATTTTGTCAAAGCCGTAACCACTATATTGTGACAGACATACCCTTTTGTCAGCTCGCTGTGGGGTTATTGTTATCTATTGTGACAAAATATTTTGTCATTTTAACAATTCAGGAAGGCACAATATGACAAAAGCTACTTCGACGATATAATTTGTCACTTTTGTGTCTATTGCATCCCGATATGGGATGCCTATTGTGACAAACTTAATTCTGACACGAAATATTTATCACATTACTCACTTGAAATGACGACTTATTCTGATAACAATTTTTTTGTCACATTAGGCATACCAAATAGGACATATATTATTTTTGTCATATAACCGTACCTATTGTAACAAACAAAAAATGACAAAATAAAAAATTTGTCCTAATAGGCCGAATTTGTTGTTGTGGATGAAGGCGTAGTAGACATGAGTGAAGTGGGAGGTGTTGATGGCGGAGGGAGGGAAATCGGAGAAGGATTCCTAGTAGGCTGCTCTGATTATTCCTGGCGGTGAGGGGTTGGATGGTCGCGGCGCGGCTGATGGAGCTTGGACGACGGTCGGAGTAGGGGCGAGAGCTGGGCTTGAGGTTGGAGAAACAGAGTGGGAAGTGTTGATCATGAGGTTGAAGATAGTGAAAAGGAGAGCGATTGGTGCGAGTTTGGCAGAGGCTATGATTTGGGAGGAGGGAAAGATTTAGTGGATGGTTTGTGGAAGGCCGGGACTGCAGAAATTTATAGTGAAGAGAATTGGCATTAGTATAATTGACACCCTATTTGCTTGTCATTCTCCGACATGATTTGGGAGCATGACACCCTCTTCTCTTGCATTCACTGCTACCTTTACCATCCTTGAGGAAGAATATCGCCACAGGAGCTAAGACGTACGATCTGGGGAACCCATCATCATGTTTTGTAAGAGAAGAAGTGAAGACAGAGTGGGAAGCTAGAAGGTGGAGAATGAGATCAAGCCTCAGCCAACATCAACAGCAGAGGAGCTACAGTAGAAGCAGCGATTTGGGCAGAGTCTTGGACACAAAACACACTTCTAAACCCCATCAGATCATTCATTATCTTTCCGCCCCAAGATCATCAATTCGTAGTTACCGCTGCAGTAGCATTGCCTTTTTGCTGCAGTGTCGGCGGTACCAATAGTAGCGACAATTGGAATGAGGTGGAGGTGGTAGAGGAAGACTGGGTTAGGTTTAGGTGTATAGGGATTACAAAAAAAAACCCCTCTTCTTCGCCGGCCAACGGAAATTAATTGGCGACCACCCCACGATCTCCTCGCCGTCGCAATCTCCCTCTTCTTCTCCTTCCTCTTTCGCTTCAGTAG